CTCGTTGGAGAGTCGAGCGACGTCTCGCTTGTACCATCTCATCTGAATATATCAGAGATTCCCTGATGGCTCAAAGAGTGTTTTGTGCATGTGGAGAACTGTGTTATTCTGTTGAGCGGAGTCATTCTTTAAACCAATTACTCTAGACGCTCAGCGACATGCAGATGAAGTGAGGGAACCATCAAGAGGGCCAAAGGAGGAGAGAGGGATGGAGAGAGACGCCATCACTTAGGTTTTGGAGAGAGATAAAACAGAATGAGAGCAGAAGAGAGACACTCTCAGGCTATGTTCAGAATGAATGCATTCATGTGCGGCATATTCTGTACACTGCCTACATTGTAAAACACTGCATATAGGCCTACAGAATGCAATAATAATGTTACATGATAATAGGTTGGATGTTTAATCTAATTAAAATGTGTGAAATGTATTTTTAAAAATGTAGTTTTACCACAAAAAATATATATAAAGTAAAAAAAAATTATAAAAATAAATTCAATTATGTAGCTAATTAAGCTACATTCCCAGTGACCATGTAGCATTGCTAGTTTTCATATTATTTATCTTTTCAGTAAAAACTCTGCTAGGTGGCTGTGCACAATGTTATATTTCCCTACCACTATTTCAGCAACGAAGTCCTGTGTCCGGAATTTTCTTTCGTCTTTTAGAAACAGAATTAGCAATGCCCGGTTCATGGAAGAATCATTCTTATGAGTCGGTTCCTAGCAAAACGGTATGGTTTCCCAAAAGCATCGTAAGCCTAAGTTTATCATAACTCCATTGGTTTCAATGGGTCTACAGTGTACTTAAGCTTACGATGCTTTTGGGAAATGTAGCCCTGGACAGGATCGCGATTCAGTCTGAATCAATCGGACAGTTCACTCGTTTAGAGCAGTTTTAAAAAAAAGTTTTTTAAATCTGTAAAACGGTGACGATAAACTTCAGAACCAAAAGAACAAAAACAGCACTGAATGACGTGAATATTTTACCTTATATTTTACCAATCAATTCAAACTAACATTCAAATCCATTCGTTTGACAGAAATGAATGAACGACTCAGGTAGGCTAGATGTTTACACGTATTAAATCTAATTATAATTTCATTGTCATTTTTCTTATTTAGGCATACAGTGTACAGGCCTACATATTGTGCATAGTTTATATGCATTCATAAGAGCAGTATAATGCTTCGGTTTCCCCCACAATCCAAAGACATGCAGTATAGGTGAATTGGACAAAAGTAAATTGGCCGTAGTGAGTGAGTGTGTGTGTGAATGAGTGAGTGAGTGTGTCCCAGCACTGGGGTTGCACGAGTTAGTGCACTCTCAGGGCTGGGTTGTGGCAGGAAGGGCATCCGGCGTAAAACATGGGCCAAATCGGTTGTGCGGATCACTCCGCTGTGGCGACCCCTGATAAAAAGGGAGCAAGCCGAAGGAAGAGAGAGAGAGAAAAGAGCAGTATAATATTATGCTACAGTGTTCTGCACATCATGTCAGCTTTGGTCTGGTGAACTGATGTGATCTTGACACAGCCATTTGGAGATGGAGGAATGGCAGAGGCCATATGGCTGAATTACATACGGCAGATGAGAGAGTCTGTGATTTCAGAAGGAGGTGGAGGGCAAGAGAGCGATAGAATAATATTACTCAAGAGAAGAGAACAGACCTTCAAGACATTAAGAGGCAGGAAATAGCCTCACTCAGTCCTGTCAGGGACTGAGGCTGACCCTTAAAGTGACTCTTTTTAACACACAATTCCTCAAGACACTGTTTGACCTGTTTTAGTAAGTCGTGATGGTATAAATGAACTAAATGAAAGAAATAAAAGACTGAACCACACTCACACACAGAGGTGCAAATATCCTCAGCTGTCTGACACAGCTGCACTGATAGTGCCTTGCAAAGTTGGCTTCATAGGGTATTCAGCCGTCCTTAGAGAGATTCAAGGTCCTGTATAGAGTGCATGTTCAGTCTGAAGGCCACTTACATAGATATGTATAGATGCCATATTTGACCACTCCAGATACCTTGACGCATCCGCCTCATCACATGGCTCATGTATCACAGGCCATGGAAACAGTCGCTAATGAGGCATCTACGTATATAAATCTATGAGTGTATAGGCCTACTGATATTTAACTTCACAGAAACAAGAAAGAGAAATAGCAGTGCACAAAATGCAACTGTTAAAATGCTGTTATTATCAAGATCATGGAGTACATAACGGCTAAGACGACACATACATAATAGAATTTAATCAAATTTTATTATTTTCATATTAAGCACTGCAACAGTTATCAGTTTTAGCGATATAGGGAATGACAAATTAATATTCTAAATTAATAAATAAAGTGTAATTTATATGAAAAAATATATGACATTTTTCTTGCGCACCAAAACAAAATATTAGAATTCAATGTGACACTGAAGCTGAAAATGTAGCTTTGCCATCACAGGTGAGAATTTAAAGCAGCAGATGAGTGTGCGTTTACAGATGATATCATTCGCTGGTGTGAATGCTAATATTGTTATTTTAGTTATCTTTAAATATATCGTTCTTGGTGTGAACGGGGCTTAACCCTCACCCAATTCCTGAAGCACAACTGAAAAACATACTTTAAAGAAAGGTTTTGAAGGATTTAGTAAACTTCTGAGGACTTATTGACACTTCTCTAACCCCTGCCTGACAGACCAATACTACTTTAGCAGCTGTCCACCAACATCCACCACATTATCAGACTTATTTTTCTCTTCTAATGCATATCTGTAGAGGACCTCTGTGTTTGGATAGTTTAGGAGTAATTTTACAAAAAATTTAAAATTAATAATAATAACAGTTTAGGAAATAAACTGAAATTAAACTAAACTGTTACACTGGATACTAAAGTTTTATACCTGCCATTTATACTGCGGACAGAGAGAACAATAGACAGACATAATTTAAATTTTCATGTTAATTTTAATGTGATTTTTAATTATTTTATATATATATTAAATTAATATACACACACGCACACTCACACACATACATACATACATACAAATATATACCGATAGATAGACAGACAGACAGACAGACAGACAGACAGACAGACAGACAGACAGACAGACAGACACATAGATAGACAGACAGACAGACAGACAGACAGACAGACAGACAGACAGACAGACAGACAGACACATAGATAGACAGACAGACAGACAGACAGATAGACAGATAGACAGATAGATAGATAGATAGATAGATAGATAGATAGATAGAGAGATAGACAGACAGAAAGACAGACAGACAGATACATAGATAGACAGACAGACAGACAGCCAGACAGACACATAGATAGACAGACAGACAGATAGACAGATAGACAGATAGATAGATAGATAGAGAGATAGACAGACAGAAAGACAGACAGACAGATACATAGATAGACAGACAGACAGATAGATACATAGATAGACAGACAGACAGATAGATACATAGATAGACAGACAGACAGATAGATACATAGATAGACAGACAGACAGATAGATACATAGATAGACAGACAGACAGATAGATACATAGATAGACAGACAGACAGATAGATACATAGATAGACAGACAGACAGATAGATACATAGATAGACAGACAGATAGACAGATAGATAGACAGATCGATAATTTTTTTTAAAGAAATATGGCAAACTTCATGGAATGGTCAGCAGTGAGCAGAGCTTAGCAGAATGTAAATTTGTCCACAAGTATAAGTAAAAATAAAAATCTGACACATATAGAAATATATACACATATTATGGACCATTCAAATTTTGCAAGCACATACAGTATTTACTAATAAACATTTATAAATCATTCCACATGGGTACAAGGTATTGAGTAGGATCTCATACCTCTCGGCCACCACATACAAAGACTAATGATAAATACACACACCTTACAGACTGCACACACACACATACACGCACACAGAGCGCTGTGCTGAATGATGAGGATTAGGAGGTAAAAGAGGAGGATAGATGTGAAGAAGCTTTGATGATAGATGCACTCACAGAGCCATTCACATCGGTCCTATAAATGTGTGTTTGTGGTGCGTCTAGATTAGAAACACTTAAATAAATTCTTCTCTGAATTCATCTCCGTTTGATATAGCTGCAGAAAACCAGTGAAAAGAGATTCAATTATTTACGTTGATGAAGGTTCATCTGGAAAAGTACAGCGTGTGTGTGAGACGGAATGTATTTAAGAAGCAATGGCTGATATATTTTTCATAAAAATACTTGGAATATTTCAGTTCCTCTTCTAATTTTACTCAGCACCACACACACACACACATACAAAGGTGATTAGTTAATCTCATTCGATATTTACCAAACTAGGAAGTGCAGAGATAAGCAGGATTAGTTACAACAACAGCTGCTGGACTTGAGATGGAGTCAGTCTGTCAGTGTCTCTCTGCTACGGCAACAGGAAACTTCAGAGGCCGACTGGTTAACGTGGCTCTGAGTGACAGAAGAGAACATGAGAGATAGGCAAGGGTGGAGGAAGAAAGGAAAACTAAAATATCCCCCTCTTTCAGAATGGAGAAACGGGATGTCCTCAGGACGGGACTGAAGTGGAGAGAAGCAAGACAGGAGGACAGAGGAAGTGGAAACTTGCTGACTAATGCAGTTCATTTTTATGTCCATGCACACAATATACAGAAATTAATATACTAGATCAAAATAAATAAATAAAACACATTTTTAAGATATAAATTATATTGTTATATTATTTTGTAATAAGTATCTTTAGATTTTTCCGTACAGTTAATTTGAATTAAGTTAACATATGAGTGAATTTTAAATTAACTTCACTACCTTGTTTTAGGACATATTTTAGGAGAGTGGGGGATGTGATTCATCTCTTTTACCTTTGTCCTCAATTTTACTTCTTTCCTGTTAACATTTGGTAATATACCTTTAAATAACAAGTGGCCAGTCCTTATGACATCAGCTTCCAGGAAGTGACATGATTTTCGAGGGAAAACATCTGCACAGGCTTCAGTAAGTTCTAGCAATTGAATTCATTCATTCATTCATTTTTCAGTTCTGTTTTGGATGGTGTAATACCACCGTTATTTGTTGGTCTCAATTTTAGGCTTGATAAAAATCACAGAAACATTATGATTATGATCATTCTGATGTCAAAACATGATAAAGATGGTGATCTGGTGATGATGTTCAGAATTTATAAGCTTTTAAATAAAGGTGTCTGCTAAAATAGATATAAATGGTATAAAAATATATAAAAATAACTTTAATTTGACACTCCCATGTAAACAAGCTGGACAGCCAATTTTAGCATTGTTTTTTTATTATGTAGCCATCCCGTTCATTGTTTTGACACTGTGTAAATAATCCATCTATAATTATATTGCTATTCATTTAAATATTTAAAAAATAATAATACGCACCTGAGTTTGGATATAGCATATTTCTGAAATCTGGAATCTCGGTATGGGTTTGATCCCAAAAACAAACATTTAACGCCAGCAGTGAATAATTTTTCATTTCAGTGCGATATTAGCGCTTAATATACACAAATATCACTTGGCAACTTGTTGGTTGAGTCTCCCATATTCTGACATGTCAGCAGGTTTTAAGCTAGTTCATAAAGTAACACTGTCAACGCAAATGACGCCTCATTCTGTGCAATGTTTTCATTGTGTGAACTGAGTGCTAGCTTCATATATTTTAAGTGTTCCAAGATGAATTGGATAATGATAGTTCTCTTTTGCCCTGAAGGAAAGGTGTGTGCGGCTTGTCTTCAGCACACACACAAAACACATGCGAAAAAAACGTTCTCAACTTACTTTTCCACAAAGCACGTGCACTCTTACCTACACAAATACGTTACGACTTCTTTATGAGCAGACTTATCAGCCTATTGTGACAGACAGTGGATCCAAATATTCAATTTGTGACAGTAATTCTCTAACACGGCACATTACAGCAAATCTCAAAAGCTGCTACTTGAGATTAGCAACACATTTTAAGCATAATGTTGGTGTAACATGCTCCAGTTGAGCTGCAAGAATATTTTCATGCTGTTGACAGACTGATTGAGTTTAATTATTTCGCCTGACGCGTCGGGTTTTGTTTTGTTATGTCTGCGAATCTGCTGGGCCTGATATCCGTCATCGAGGTGCCGTGGGGAGGCGCATGTAAACATGACTGACACGTGTATGGAGGTTAAACACGAGATTAGAGAGTTCTCAAAGCTTTATGACCCTCTCTTCCCCCCTGTGGTTTTGAAACGCTTTGATGTTTGGAGGTTTCTGCCTTTTTGAGTGGCAGATTTCATATTGTGTACTTCCGGTGGTCCTACACTAGCTAAGCAATGTTCACTTTTCCACGGCTTTCTGTCGTCCATTTATCCCTTTTGGAATCTGGTAAGTGTTTCGTTTCTTTCTTATCTTCTCTCCTGTCCTGTATTCTGTTCCTCATTCTCTGCAAGAGTTGTCAAAATCAAATGAGAGACTCAAGACTGAAGATGCGTCTGCCTATTTTGAATTAGATATGGCAGGTTCTTAAACCAAGTTGTCTGAGCGTGGAAAATTGGCCAACCAACAGAGTTTGTGTCGTAAAGCCGGCGTTATTCTGCCAGATCAAAGATTTTCACATCCAGCCAACATTACTATAATTATGATGGCATGGCTCACAAAAGGAAGTCTAAAGACTTCAGTCTTTGTCAGTCTTTTCTTAATATACCATTGAAATGTTTTTCAGGTTAATCAACATATGTGACTGCTTCTCAACCGCTGTGATGACGAGGCTCATTCAAAAGGCCCTAAGTCCTAGTTTTGTTTTCTAAACTAATGGCAATGGATGGGTACTCCTAGTTTATGTACTTAAAGTAACGAAAATAGCTATAATTAAATGAATAAAACTCCAGGATTTCAGAAGTTGATTTTGAAAAATATTATTTACTCACAATTTTTACCCAATAAAATGTGATCCTGGCTGTGAAACCCCTGTGTTTTTTTTTTTTTTTTTGGTGATTTACTGTTTTAAGGTAAAGACCGTTCTGTGAAAATATAACCTTGATATCTTTAATATTGACTAAGGCCATGTCAGAGATTGAAATCATAGTGAAATTAATGCTTGAAATCAGACTTTGATGCTTGTTATCTCATAATTAGATTTTGAGACTTTAGCCTGAATTTCACAGACAGGGTCACAAATATTTTGACATAGTTAAATGTATATTTATTATAAAACTGCCCATGGCTTCTTAAGATTTTATTAATTTACATTATGTTTACATGTCTAGAAATTACACTTTTAAAATAACTGTAGGCTTCCCTATATGTCCAGGTTTTCCAAGACTGATTTTTAGTTTTTGTTTATATTTTTTTTAATGTGTTTTGTCAAATCATCTTGATGCCTTGGCAGCTGTTGAACCATTTTTAAAAATTATTATATTTTTATTGTAAATTAATTTAATTTTATCTTTATTTTTTTATAATGATTTATGTATTTATTTAAATCTAATTTATCATTGTTTTTTTTTAATTAAACTAACTTATTTAGATTTATTTAAATTTTATCATGATTATTTATTTATTTAAATTGGATTGAGTTTATTTATTGATTTAAATGTACTTGATTTCCGTTACTTTAGTGATTCAGGTTAAAAAATGCAGACAACGTGTGTGCATAAACGGCTCGATCAGTGCTATCAGTTTATTCTCAGTGAATTCTTTGCTAAGTGTTTGTGAGTTTGTTTGGACAGATCAGACAGAGATAGAGTCTCTTGTTAGAGCTGTGAAAAAGTCCATGCTGACAAGCTGTCGTTTAGCTTTCCTGTCATCCCGTTTTGAGCATTCACCACACCTCATTCATCCATAACCCTAAGGGTCACAGGTCATTGTACTTCAGCACTCCAAGGCAGAGGTCAAAGGTCAACATCTTCTTTCAGCATGGCACAAGACACTGTGGACACACTTGTGATGACAATATGATCCAGATGTGGAGAGATGAGGAGAGAGACAGTTAATGTCTGCTACATGCCAGTGGGGTTGACCGAAACCCTAAAATGAGACTTTTGGCGTCGACATGGTAACCGCCATGGTAACAGAATGTGGGTGGAGTCACGGGGGGTGACGGGTGAGAAATCGGCTCCATAGCTAATGAGCAGCTGCTGGCAGTTTCTCTGCAGGACAGCAGACAGGCAGGAACAATATTTCAAACTCCTTCAAATGAAATAATACGATAACAAAGACTCCTGGGGCAATGTGTGTGTTCTGGAACGTGTTTGGACAGGGTGTGTGACTCCTCCCGGTGAATAATCATGAACTGGCACACATACACACAGACACGGCTCTCATACCTCTTTCACCACCAAAGAATGTGTGTATAGACTATGTAATTAATCTAAAATTCATAATCCAGAGTGTGGATTATGTGTCTGGCAGATGAGAAAAATTGTCTCATAAAAAGACACGCACACACTCGTACTCATTCAGGAGCATTGTGAACTGGAATGCAAAATGAAGTTGGGATGGGTCAGGATTAGTAGTTTACTAATTTTCCAAAAACTGAATAGTCAATTAGTAAGCTATTATTGTGTATGTTTCTTTTCTTCAGTGTTTTAAAGGAAATTAATTTAGGGATGCAACTTCTCAATGAAGATTTCAGCATGCTGACAGCAGTAAGTGAACTGTATATTTTCAATTCATACCCTTAAAGCAATAGCACTACAACATACTGTAAGCACAGTTTTTTTTCTGTCAAATTTGCCAGTATATATAAATATTATATTTTACACTTGCAGACTAGGGGGCTGTTTCATAAAAGACGCTAAGAAAAGCGGGGATTAAAGGCCAAAACCTGACTTGAAATAACCTAACAAATCAATCGGGGCTAAAGCGGTTTCATAAACGACAATTTAAGTTCACGCAATCTCACTAATTCGATCCAGGTTCAACGAGTCAGGATACTTTGATGTGCACACTTATTCTTAAGCAGCCCTTAATGTCGATCGTGGATCAAATCGATCCACTATGGTAAACATGTTTTCCTCAGTGCGTAACTGACACGTCACAGGTATATTTTTTATCTGTAAATGTTAGAAAGTCATTCAAATATATCCATTTTGCTGTCAGGAGTGAACAAGGCTTTTACGCGAGCGCTGCTGCGCGCATGCGCTACACAGATGGAGCAGAATAAAATAATAGCACAATAATTCTGAATAAAATATACATCCTGCTAAAATATTTGTTGTTGGACATTAAATGTGAGACATGTAGAATTTTAATCCTACATATAAGTGTTTATGTTTGTTTAATAAAATAAGTTTATTTATTTATTTAAATCTAATTTATCATTGTTTTATTTAAAGTAAACTAACTTAAATTTAGATTTATTTAAATTTTAAAATAATAGCACAATAATTCTGAATAAAATATACATTCTGCTAAAATATTTGTTGTTGGACATTAAATGTGAGACATGTAGAATTTTAATCCTACATATAAGAGTATGTTTTTATGATAGCAGTAACTGTAAATCAAATGTAAGCTGGCTAATACAGCCCTACTAGCTCAAATTAGTTAAATGTGTGTTCCTCTTATCAGTTACTCTAAAATTGTAAAAAAATGTAAAGTCTTATGTCTAAATAAGTTATGTTCCAAATTTGAAGTTGATATGAAAAAAATGTAGGTTCCCGTGAGATTTTATTTAGGGCGTTATACCACAAACAGCCACCGGGTGCCATCAAAACTCCACTGAATTTTTTTATGCATTTTTCTGTCACAAATGTCTAGATTTCTGTCAATATTACTTCTATCACAAAATAACCACCAAATATGGAATCCTGAGACTCAGACCTCTCCAACGATATGTTTTATGTCAAGATTATAAAAAGTTTTGATTGTAAAAGACCGTAATGCATTTTGTAATATGACACTTGACACCGCCCGCTAAGGGGGAGGAGACGGCCAAAAGATTTTAAAGTACCATTTCCATGGTAACTCAATGTTCGATTTCAAAATGGTTTTCAC